GGGGGGGGGGAGAGATGGAGACGGCGACCGCACCCACGGCAAGGCTAGCGCCCCATTGTCTTCAGTTCCACAACAGGCATTCTTCCTAGTGTTTATCTAGTTCCCTCTTGAAGCCGTCAGTGCTTGTAGCAACCGCCACCTCCTGTGGCAGTGAGTTCCATGTGTTAATCACTCTTTGGGTGAAGAAGGACTTCCTTTTATCCCTTCTAACCTGACTGCTCAGCAGTTTCATGGAGTGCCCACTCATTCAATGGTGTTTTGTTTTTATGGTGTTACGGCCTGCGGGCTGTTCAGCTTGAATAAACTGAAACTGATATGGGGCGGAAGGCTTCCCACAAGGAAAACAGAACATCATGGCCTTTTCTGGAATTTTTCCCCTGTTTCGGAAAGCTTTCTGCTGAAAATCTTCCATCCTGTGTCACTGCTGCTGGCGGCTGGGCATCACATGAGAGAGAGAAAGTGGGAAGATCTGCGTTCAGATCCCTGCTGAGTCCCACGAATGTGCATAATACTGACCTCTGCATTACGGAGTTCAGTTTATTTACTCAAAGCAGTCATCTGCCGGTCCCCAGCGTGGTTCCCGTGGGTGCCTTGGTGTCCGCAGGTGGGCTCCTGGGTCCATTTTGCTGCCTCAACAAAGCATCTTGTGCCCAAAGGAAAGGGCCAATCCTGCCTGCCTCTGCCGCAGTTAGAGCAAGAGGTGTTTCAGAACACGGCCGGAGGGATCCCCTTTGCGTCTGCATGGGGCATCCATTTGGAAACAACTGCCTTCATTGTAAGAGGGTGCTTGGTTTGCAACCTCCCAATGCTTTTGCGATTGACACCCCCCTCCATACACCCACACCCCCACACTCCCCATCATAAAAATTCCAAAAGCGCCCCCAAGTTCAACAAAGGTGGGGACACCCCAGCCTTAAGTCATTGCAAAATGCTTTTCACAAGCATACAAAATGGGTTTTGCGAGCCTCCCAGTTGCTGGCAGTATTATAACCAGGAGGCCTCCGGCTGCTGGCAGCAGCTGGAACGCTTATCGAAAAAACTCATGTTCAAGACATTGTGGACCAAAATAAATTGTTTTGTGCGGTCTGATGAGGTCTGGCACATCAACAAAGCAGTGTTTGCCTGGGGTCTGGCCCTGCTGGGCTGGGTGGAGGAGACCTTTAGCCCATTTAAGACACCTTCTTGCACAACAGGTGATGAAAGCTGGCTCCATCAGGCCGCCTGTGTCTGCTCTCACGGTCCAGAGCCATGGATGTTTAGTGCTGTTTTTAAAAACGACAGCGTAAATTGAGATCATATCCACCTCCGTCAAAAAACTAGACCTTTCTACCTGCAACAGACCTAGGTGGGGCATAAGAAGAAGGAACCGTGCCTGGTTTCCTGAAGGAGATTTCTGCTCGCCCGAGGGGATTGTGCAAGTGGGACGTAACAGCCTGAAATAGCTTTGAAAAATTCCACTTTCCTCCAGCAAGTTTGGAGCGCCATACATTGTTCTTCCTCTGTTTCATCTTTACAATTGCCCTGTAAGGTAGACCAGGCTTATAAAACCAGCTCTCCCAAGGTTACCTAGTAAGCTTCACGACAGAATGATCCCTGGCCCCGGAGATGTCCGGCTGTCCTCGGCCAGGGCCTTTTCGGTCCTGGCCCCGACCTGGTGGAACTCTCTGCCTCATACCACCAGAGCCCTGCTGAGGGATCTCATGCAGTTCTGCAGGGTCTACAAGGCAGAGGTTTTCCCGCCAGGCTTTTGGTTGAGGACGGCAGCGGTGTTCTGTCATGGCTGGCAGCCTCTTCCTCCTTCCCTTAATTCTGATCTTGTGCCGCCCCCCCGCCCAGAAAGTGGCCGGGTGGTCCAGTACTGGGGTGAAATTTTTAAGGATGCCACCTGGGACTTCTGTTAATCTGGTTTTTAAAATTTGTTATTCCGATTTTGTTGTTTTGAATTCTTAAGTTTTGTATATTCATTTTATGGCTTTGTGCCTCTGTTGTACGTCACCCGGAGCCCAACGCAAGCTAGGATGGGGTGGTTAATAAATAATAATAATAATAATTTATGTTATATTATTATATCATAATTATTTTTGGCGAGTATATAATATATATAATATAATAATATTTATTATATACTATTATAGTATTGTACTATTATTGTCAGGGGTCATTTTGTAGAAAAAGAGGTGCAGGAGCTTATTTGCATATACCACACCCCCTGACATCACCGGAAGTGTGTCTGAAGGCACCCACCGCTCAGGCTCCACTGAACTCTTTTGGATCGCTAGCTATTGGGGGTGGGTGGGAACATGCAGATCTGTCCTCGCAGAGGAGGGAGAGCTTGTACCTGAATAAAACTTGGTCTTAAAGGTGCCACTGGACTGTTCCGCCCCATGGGCTCTTTACTGCTGGAGCTCCGCTCCTGTGTGCTCCTGCAGGAAATGACCCCTGATTATTGTTATTGTTATTATATATAATATTTTTGGTGAGTATTTTGTATGCCTGGAAGTCATGGTGACTTCTGGTGAATCCCGGTGGGGCTTGGACGTTTCAGAGAGATGGCTTACTATTACCTGCCTCTGCATCCTAGCCCAGGTATTCCTTGGAGGTCTCCCTTCCAAGTACTTGCCAGGGTCAGCCCTGCTTAGTTTCCGAGTTCTGACGAGATCGGGCTTCCCTGAGCCGCCCAGGTCAGGGCAAGGCAGAATGATCCGAACCTCCCCTGTTCTAATCTGATACCCGAATCAGTACTCGGTTCTGTTTCCTGTCCCACCCCTTCATTGGGAAGGGCCCTATCTATTCAAGCTGGTCTTGGAGTCTAGAAACTTTAAAAAGGTGGTGTTTGGGTATCGGGGAGGGGTGAATGCTGGATTCTGTGAGCAGGTGATGGGTTTTATGTCTTTGTATCGACTAGGTAACAAACACAGCCTGGCTTATGCTCACGGGATGTTTATCAAAGATTTGTCGTTTTAGCTTCCTGTTGGATGCAGGTTTCTCCCTGCTTCCCCCCCCCCCCCTTTTCAGGAGCTTAGACTTGTTAGCATGACTTCATAAGGATTAACCAGATGCTGGGCGAAGTACAAAGGCCAGTCAGCTCTCCACAACAGAGAGCCGCAGGCATCCATGGAAATCATAAACAAGGAAGTGGCGCAGAGAAGAGGGGCCAAACTCCAGAGGTCAAGTTGACTTTCTCCCCCTGTCAGCTAATCTTTCTAGTTCTAATCTTTTCTTTGCGGAAGTGTCTGAATTTCTGCCTGAACGGAGTTGGGGTGGAATTAGCTGCTCTTTAGAATGGAGGTGGGTGGGTGTCTTGGTAGCTGTTCTCTGCCATCGCTTAAGTAGAACCTCCCTCTTAGCAGGCAGTCTGTTTCTCAGCTGGACGCCAGGGTCCAAGAGAGGACAGGGTTTGTTTGGTGTAGTGGTTCAGTGCGCGGACTCTAATCTGGGAGAACACGGTTTGATTCCCCACTCCTCCACTTACACCTGGCTGGATGACCTTGGGCAAGCCACAGTTCTGATAAGAGCTGTTCTTGAAAAAGAGCCATTTCTGTCAAAGCTCTCCCAGGGTGTGTGTGTGTGTGTGCCAGTCTACATGCCCTTTTTGTGGCCTGATCCACCAAAGCAGTGCTTATTGGCATGAGATGTGTCAGGGCGAAGGGTTCTGTTTTTCTTTGCAAACATGGTGGTTGTAGAATGTCGCTCTTACCGCTAGGAACAGTCTCCCCTAAAAATGTCTTATCTCAGAGGCCAGTGATGTATGCCAGGTTTTGCCAGCTGGGTACAGCTGGGTATTCTGCACCTGCTGTAGGATTTCCCTGGGGAAAATCCCCTTCCTCCATACCGTTTGGGGACTTGAATGTTTATGAGCAGAAATGTCCCGGGTGGGTTGGCAGGGCACCTCGGTCATCACTGAATTGTTGGAGGGAATGACGTGTCAGAACGAGTGTGGGAGGGGGGGGGGGGGGGGCAGCCGGCCCTCCAGTTGTAGGGCAGAAAGAATCCGTGACATCTGCTAACCAGCTTTCTTCTCCTGCGGAGAGCATGTGACCGCAAACAGCTGCCTGGGCTCAAAAAAAGAAATCGGCAAATGCATCATCTTTTCATTTCATGCTG